AAAATCCCTAATTGGAAAAATTCATGGGTCCGACACAATAAAACAGAACAATCGATTTTTTTTACGCCACCTGTATTGCTGTTTTGCCACATGTCTACGCCGTACTGATTGTTAAAGCCAGTGACTAAACATGTTAAAGAGGTTGCTGAAGCCTCTGGTCAAAGAAAATGGGGATGAATCACTGACTCTTTAGATGGGGAATCCACAATATGATTCACAGATCAAACTGACTGCTCCCCTGTGCTTTCTCAGCCACTTTTTGTCTCTCGTTCTTTTTTGAGAGTTGTTTTAAAAAGTGAGATTTGCCGTTTAGTTTTCTGTATACCGCTGCCAAGGTTATAAGGGGTTGAGGGGAACGTAAATGAAAAAGTAAACAAAGAGATCGCCCTCTCATTGCCCATGTTCTAAACATACACTAGATTTCACATTTCACACTGTATTATTATTTTTTTTTTCCTAAATGGAAACGGGTGTTCGCTATCAGTTGCTCTGGCTGATGAGGTCAGTCTTACCTAGTATAATACTTTCCATCATAACACAACACATTCGCTGCTTTCAAAATAGAAAAATGTAGCCTAAATATCATTAGGATGTCACCTACAATGGAATCATGTTTCATAGAAAATTGGCACTACATAATTTTTAACCCCTGCAATTTTGTTATTTTCTAAATACAGCAGCTTAAATGGACATCTAAGTTAAATATACAACATAAAAATATCCCAGAATGAGTAACAACAGGTTTGCAAATTCAGCTTAAATTCAGTTGTCACTTAGTAAGGCTAGCTAGTGTGGAACCAAATGTTGGTTATAAATGTCTAAAAATATTTCCTGTAAGTTAAAAGAAAAGAAAATATTTGTCCCAGTAAGCAGTTATGACAGCCCATCTCAACTGATGCCTCTGTTAACGGTCAGCCTGTGCAGTGGCTAGTCCGGTGATTCAGTCTCGGGGCAGCACTGTCAAACAATATAATTTACCCCAGCTCAAAGTATTGCTATCGGTGAGCTCTCAGCCTCAGACCCTGTGTATTATATGTTAATAAGGGATGGCCCCTTCCACTCATCCAAAGAGGATCCCTTGTTTAGAGACTCTGCGCTGAGACTCTCTAGCGTTATGCGAGATCGAGATGAATCATGCTTTCTTACATGTGGGGAAAGATGATGTTGAAACCTCTCAAGTCAGTTGCTGCTATATTGCGATATATTGCACAGTAACTTCCCGTATTTAACTGAGTCAGATGCATCGCTAATATCTACAGAGCTCCCGTTTAGACACTCACTCCCTTAATATATTGTTGAGATTTGTAGTTTGTACAGTTAGCGACTAATATGAATAGAACCACTTATGAGTTTTATACACTCAGAGGTTTGGCTGTCCTGAGGTGACTTGCGTACCCTCTTTGTTCAACGTTTAGACCAGTTTAAAAGCATTGAAGCTGCAGCATGTATTTGTGTGTTTGAATGAATGTGCTACAGTGTGCTTTTGTGTCACACAAAAATGGAAAAAGTGAGAAAAGAAAGCTTTTGGTCCAGGAGTAGACAGGAAAATAACATTTTAAAATAAGAAAGTCCTCTTCAAAGTAGAGTAAATACTGTGGCAGACAACATATTAGTCTTTTCAAAAATTCGGCACCCTTAAAAATCTGCCAATACCACAGGCACACCACAGACGCTGATTAAATAGCTGTCTGTATTTATTGACCGACTGTGCTGTGCTAAAAATACTGGCATACATTTTATTTTTTAATTTGCTGTTTGCTTGTTTTTCTCTTTACCAGATGTTAAAGTGTGCATTTTTAATGCTCCATGCCAGTAGCTGAATCAAACCATTTTAGCTTGTAGCCTTTTTTTTATTCATTTATTCTTAATATATATATTATTTCATTGGTTTATTATTTCACATTTGTGCAAAAGTCTGGTATTTTTAATTAATTAATTAATTAATTTTTACACTTGTTTACTGGAGTTTTAAATGTTGTACTACAAAACAAATAAATAAAGTATTACACACACACACACATACATACATACATACATACATATATATATATTAGTTTTAATTCATTTATTTTGTTTCAAATATCAAATAAAGTTCATCCAATCTTGAACACCTTTGAGAATTGCAAATTGTCATATAAAGTGTGCAGGAGGTGCTGCCATTTACATTTACTCAATATGTTTTGTAAGTTGTATCATTTTTCTACAATGTGTGTGAGGTTGTGCAGAGTGTGTGTCTGTGTGTCTGTGTGTGTGTGTGTGTGTGTGTGT